TCACTGTGGGAGTGTTTTGTTAGTATTGTCTGTGATTGCCTAATATCCAATATGTGTCCCATTGTTCCATCAGGTCTGTTAAAGTCGTGACTTAAATATGAATATTAATTTAATAATTAATATATAATAATTAAGCAACAAATAACATTAATATTGTTATGAGTTCGGTATTATGGTCAAATATAAAATAGGAAATACACAAAACATTGTAGTATTAAATGCATATTTAATATAATTATAATAACAATTAAACAAATGCTAGCAGAATGTCAATTTACCACAATAATTACACAATACAAAACTACAACATATTACTTACAAAAGGCTATAACAGTTGCTAGCTGTTATAATAGATTACTTACACGGCTCCAGCCTGTTTGGCTGGAGCTATACAGTCAGCTACATGTTCAATCAATGCAAGACAAGGAAAAAGGAGAGCTGAAAATCCTTCTACTATTTGGTTTTATCCAGTAAGTAGGCTGGCCTGTGATGTCACTGCCAGAAGCACATGAGTTAGCACACTGACCCCTAGTGGTGCCTCTAAAGCATTAAGCTCATTATGCTTTTTTATGACAAAAAGTCATTAATTAATAAATACCATTACAAGGTCCCACTTGCATAAATAACCCTTACTGTAACCCTCAATAAACCAGACCTACTTGCACCTTTCTTGAAGCCTTGGCTCATGCTTGGGGGAAGGGATACCTACACTCTGGGGATTGCTATAATCACTTACTCCCCAGAATAAGCTCTTGTAAGAGCTTGATTTGTTCCTGCTACGCTGTCTGGATTTAGGAGAGGTTCACCCACTGGGAGCTGGATCCTGATCGTGGATCCAGGGTGAGTGAGAGACGGTGAGACCCCGGCACAGCTGCATCGCTGGAAGTGAGGTCCGCAGTGCTGATGGTGTTGGTTGGAGTGCTCGGAGTCCTCGGCAAGTGCTAGGAGCATCGATTGGTGGAGGTCCGTCACACTAATTGCCTATAATTTCCACCTGTTGTCTATCCCATGCACAACAGCATGTGAAATTGATTGTCACTCATTGTTGCTTCCTAAGTGGACAGCTTGATTTCACAGAAGTGTGATTGACTTGTGTAGTTAAAGACTTTGGCTCCATGGCAATTGAACTGTGTGAATAGGATCTGAGTGCTCTTCGGTAGTTTTGTGCGCTCAGATCCCAGCTATCTGGGGATATGTGAAACGTCTGTGTGTTATGTGTAAAAGGTGACTTTATGTATTTTAAAGTGTTTTATGTCTTTTTGCAACCGTGTGCTCAATGGAGTTTGCCTCTATCCCTGGATAATTGGATTACTTTCCCCCATTGTCTCCAGGATAGAGGGCTCTGTAAAACCTGTTTGAGACAGATATCCATGTGCCAGCCAGGGCCCAAAATATACTTTTACTAACTTTTGAACCCCTGGTCGGATTCATGCCATTTTTTAATATGTTGTCCTCCTGAATGGATTGATTGTGAATATGTAATTTTATGTGAATGTGATGTATGGTTTTAAAGTTATGAAAGTTGGGTAGAAAGTATGTTCTAACTGTATATGTAATTGAGTTTCCTCTCAGGATAAGGGGAGGGAATATTTGTTTTATACCTCCCTGTGGGCGGTCCTGTATGTGAAAGGCTGTAATAAAAAACCAGGCTGGGTGTGCCAGCACAGGAGTTCCTGCTTAACCCTCAAAGTGAAGTGTTGTCTCATTATTGGGGGAGGATTCATGGTATGCTGTTCCAGTTTGACTGCTAGGAGTGTAAACCTATTCGCATGGTTTTTCCTATTCGGCTGTATACAACATTCATTTGCTTGAGAGCATTCATATGCTCCTACGGTTCGGTGGTTTTGGTGTCTGCTGCAGTGCTTGGAGTCCTCAGGAAGTGGTAGGAGCATCCTTTAACGGAGGTACCCAGTCGGGGTGCCAGGTGATCCGTTACACACGTCATGTGTCCTTAACCCCTTAAGGACACGACATGTCTGACATGTCATGATCCCCTTTTATTCCAGATGTTTGGTCCTTAAGGGGTTAAGTGTTCCCTTTATTTTTTTGAGCAGTGTATATATGAAATAGCAAAATTAAGAGAAAGCGCTTTTCTTTATTTCAGTGTTTTAGTTTTAGCAGAGTTTAGTAGGTAGCTACTGCTGAGGTAGCGACTTAAATATGAATATTAATGTTAATTATACAATAATTAAGTAAAACATTATAACAGTAATTTTTTTAATTAATTGATGTTATGGTCAAGTATGTGTATAGAATATACATTATAGTGTTCCATTAAATGTTTAAAAAGCAGATGTGTATAGTGTTCAAGTATGTTTCTTGTGTTTGGCTAAATGTAACTGCTTTTTTGTCCTTTATTTGCCTAAACGTGATTGTCACGAGCGTGGGCTATAGGCCCAGCCGAGACAGTGGGGAGAGTGTGGAAGTGACAGGGTTAATGACACCAGACCCCTGGTTACCTGTTGCTAGTCCCAGCAACCACTCAATTAACCCCTGCAATCCCTTCTACACTACCCCCTTAGTACTACTGCCACCACCAAGACTTTTAAACCCGGGCGTCTTAGGTTACCCCACACACAGGAGAATTATAGTATCACAGTTCTACTTTTACTGATAAAACATATATAGTTAACCCTTTTTGGTAACGTGTTTACCTGAGCTTTCCTCTGGAGAGTGAAGCTCATAGAGAACAGAGACACAAGCTGATTAAGTAAACATTTAATCTGATAAAAAGGATTCACAGTGCTGAGTACAAAATACAGAAATAAATGACATACAGATAACAAATTGCAAAACAGTACATAAAATAAAATAGGAGAAAACACAAGAAATTCCTTACATATATTTACCTCATATAGAATTCTTGTGGGAGTCTTAGATGGTATAGGTCTCCTAGAAGTTACTGACAAAAGAAAAATGAATAACTGACCCATGGATAGTCCAACACCCTCATATATCTAAACTAGTTGTTTCTCAGTGGGCAGACCCCTGGGGGGGATCAGAGGGGGCTGGTCTGGCAGTCTTTTGCCCACTCTATGAAATTCCTTGTGTCCAGCTCTGGTGATGGCTATCTAGGTGTTTTATGGTCTAGGCCTGGTGCAAGATCAAAGACCATAATAAACGTCATCCCAAGGTTTACAAAAAAACAACTCTTAACATATATAAACACACATCAAACACCAACTCGTGCTTTTGGCATGACAGTGATAAATCAGGAATCATTAGTATGTTTGGTTATCTTGCTTCCAAAAGTGATTGTGGCAAATCTCGCCACTGGCTTTTGGAGGAGCCTGCTTGCCAGCCTCCTGCCCCGGGACTATGGCCCCTGCAATAGACTTGGCTAAAAGACTCTTTTCGTGCAATGGGTCCCGAACAGCCGCATGAACCAGAGACCACCCGGTAGTTTGTAAAACCCTATTAACACTTAGTAATGATTCTAACCGCAGTGTTCTAATAGTCTGTTTGGGTGGCCGCTGTTCACATGAACGAGGTAGCTGCCATCTTGTTCGCATGGACGCAGGCAGCTGTGTTTGGTCGTTGAGTTCCTGGAACTGAAATCGGACACAGAAACTCCCGAACACCGCTGGACTTCCATCATCATCTGTGTTCGGTTCTATACAATTTAGAAGGGCATGTTCAGTGGAATCATTCGTCTGGATGAGGGGAACAAGTTTCAGGGTAAGAACCTTGACTATGTTTGGTAGTTTGTTGGTTTTTAACTACCGAACTAGACCAACCGCAAGCCCTGATTCTCTTGAACTGTTTTGGGCATGGGACCATGCATGCGGTCGGTCAAATTATGACTTTCAGGAAATTCCTGAACCTATCTGGGTGAATTTTGGATATGTTGGTCACCCAGATCGGGGCTATAACTTTTGTGTGGGTGTTGTGTGTTTAAATGTATTTTGGGGTTTTATAAAAATTTGTGGGTTTTGTGTCTGGAGATAATTGAGTTTAGTTCAGTTCATGACTCAATTATCTCCCAGGCACAAGGAAGGGATTGTCTTATTATATATGGGAGTGTCCTGGATCTGAGAACCAATTTAATTGTGTGTTTGTTTCTGCTGTGGTTTACTCTCAGGACCGGGGGGGGGTTGAGGGGGTGGTGCCCCTTGTATGGGGACCTGCATAAAAGGCCAGTTATGGGTACCAATAAATGAGTTCCTCTTCAACATCAACATAGAGCCTCGTCTCATGTGTGGAGGGGGCAGCTACATTCACTCTGGGGATTGCTATATCACTATACTCCCTTGGAATTATAATCACATGCTCTTTTAAGAGCATATTGCTACACTCTCTTGGAGGAGTGGACTACCCACTGGAAGCTTGATCTTGGGTCCAGGGTGGGTGGAGGAAAGGGAGACCCCAACCAAGCTGTAACACTGGAAGTGGGGACTAGAGTGCTGATGGTGTCTGGTATAGTTCTCGGCGAGTGTAACAGATGCCCTGTTCCTGGACCTTATTTTTTATTTCATTTTAGCCTGGATCGGTATACGAACCAAACCGAACAGTCTTTGCCCCAGCTGGTTTGTATACCGAACATTATACCAAACCCTTGGACCACCCCAAAGCAGTCGTGTGCTACCAATTGACATTTGCTCTAACCACAACTCTGAGTGGTTTATTGGGTGGCCATCGATTTGTATGCACGAACACGTGGCGGTGGCGGCTGCCTTCATGTTTTGTCGGACGCATCCAGCGGTGTTTGGTCGTCAAACGTATGGAACTCTTTTCGGACACTCAACGGCCCGAACACCAGCTCACGAACAAGGGGCACACGACAAGCATTCCCACGAACAGCTATTTGAGACATTTTGGTCATATTTGAAGTACACGAAAGAGACCGGCTGATTTAATGGAACTATTCTGGGCAGGAGCCTTGTGTGCGGTCGGTCAGAAATAAGACTTCTATACAAAAACCAAACCCCTGGACCGATCTGGGTGATTTTTGGATATGTTACTCAACCAGATCAGGGATATACTTTTTATGGGGGTCATGTGTGATTTCGGGGTATTTTCAGAATGTTTATAAAATTGTTCTTTTTCACCTGGAGATAATTGAGTTGATACAGTAATCGATTTAATTATCTCCCAGGCAGAGGGGAGGAATTGTATGCCATGTGTGGGAGTGCCTTATATTGTATCCCTGTTATTATTGGTGTATAAGTTTGTGTCCCTGTCCCCAATAAGGTCCATGTGGGTGTCACCATTGCTTGGGGACTTGCATAAAAGGCTAGTGTGGCCACTGTTAAAACAGTTCACCTAACCCTCAACACGCAGCCTTGTCTCGTGATTGTAAGGAACCACTATACAGCTATAACCACTAGCTCTTATAAGACCTCTACAACTATATCAGATTCATGGTCGGCTAGGATATTCAACTGGAGAACGCTGCAGCGCTGCTCAGGACTATGGTGTCAGGATTACAGAACGTAGAATTGTGTAACACAGAGGACTGATAGGTAACGTATGCCGGACCTTAGGATGGCCGAACTAACGTACCAAAGAATAGTCAGGAATAGCCGAGGTCAAAGGAAACAGAAAGAGACACAACGATAAGGAAAAGCTAGGAGTCAGGGATGCCAGAAAACTGGGAAGTCAAAAACAATGCCAAAGTCAAATAACCAGAATTACCAGAATCAATAACGCGCTCTTGGACAACCACAAGGGAAACCACGACAGGGCACTGAGCAGGATGAGAACTGGGCCTAAATACCCCTCCTCTAGATCTGATAGGCTGTAACCGGCCTTTGACCTCAAAGCAGTTACCAGGTTCCCATTTGCATAATTGCTGCTCAGCATTAACCCTTCTGTGGATTTGGTTGCTGCTCAGCACAACTTTTCATGTGTGGACAGTAAATGTCATTAACCACATTTTTATAAGCAGATGAATACGTGACATAGGGAAAAAGGACATCTATGGCGGCATATACCCCTGCTCACTCGGGGTGTCCGTCACAGTGAGCACTAGGAGCAGCGATTGGTGGAGGCACCCGGTTGGGATGTCAGGCGGTCCGTCACAGTGATCATCTTAGGGAAGTGTTTGTTCTGTTCACTCATAAAACACTAATACCTCAAAAATGAGAAGGTAGTTTAAAAGTATTTTTTTTTATTTTTTATTATTCAATCTGTTAAATGCAATAAAGGCACAATGCTTGTTTATGTGTTACTAAATCTTCTGAATGATTATGATCCATAAAGCTTGACTGCTTTGAAAAAAAAAAAAAAGGATCATAATAGAGTTATTGTGATTGGGTCAACATTATTAATGACCCATCAGTAGCTCTTGCTTTAATCAATATTATAAAATGATTAATTACTACATAGGCTATAATTAGTTAACAAATACAATATTAACTTTAAATAAACATCACAATTTCAATTTTGTATGATTTCTCTGATAATGTTTGAGTGCTGGTTAAAACATTTAACTTATTTAGGACACGAGAAAAGTTCTTCTCCAGTATGTGTTGTCTGATGTGTAACAAGTGCTGAGAAAACTTTTCCCACATTCTTTACACGATCACGGCTTCTCTCCTGTGTGAGTTCTTTCGTGTTTAGCAAGATGTGAATGCAGGGTAAAACATTTCCCACATTCAGAACATGTAAAAGGTTTCTCTCCTGTGTGAGTTCTCTCATGCCTAACAATACTTGATTGATTGCTAAAACGTTTTCCACATTCAGAACATGAGAACGGTTTCTCTCCTGTGTGAGCTCTCTGGTGTCCAACAAGATTTGATTGACTGTTAAAACATTTTCCACATTCAGAACATGGGAATGGTTTCTCTCCTGTGTGAGTTCTCTGATGGGTGACAAGATTTGAAGGAACGCTAAACCATTTTCCACATATTGAACAAGAGAAAGGTTTCACTCCTGTGTGAGTTGTCTGATGACTAACAAGACTTGATTGAACTCTAAAACATTTCCCACATTCCGAACAAGAGAAAGGTTTCTCACCTGTGTGAGTTCTCTGGTGTGCAACAAGATTTGATTGAACACTAAAACATTTCCCACATTCTGAACATGAGAAAGGTTTCTCTCCTGTGTGACTTCTCTGATGTTTAACGAGATGTGAAGGCAGGCTAAAACATTTCCCACATTCAAGACATGAGAAAGGTTTCTCTCCTGTGTGAGTTCTCTTGTGCAAAACAAGATGTGAGTGATCACTAAAATCTTTTCCACATTCAGAACATGAGAATGGTTTCTCTCCTGTGTGAATTCTCTTGTGCCCAACAAGGTGGGAGGGTTGGCTAAAACATTTTCCACATTCAGAACATGAAAATGGTTTCTCTCCTGTGTGAGTTCTCTCATGCCTAACAATACTTGATTGATTGCTAAAACGTTTTCCACATTCAGAACATGAGAACGGTTTCTCTCCTGTGTGAGTTCTCTGGTGTCCAACCAGACTTGATTTAATGCTAAAACATTTCCCACATTCTGAACATGGGAAAGGTTTCACTCCTGTGTGAGTTCTTTGATGGGTGACCAGATTTGATTTAATGCTAAAACATTTCCCACATTCTGAACACGAGAAAGATTTCACGCCTGTGTGAGTTTTTTGATGACTAACCAGACTTGATTGAACACTAAAACATTTCACACATTCTGAACATGAGAAAGGTTTCTCTCCTGTGTGAATTTTCTGGTGTGCAACAAGATTTGATTCATAGCTAAAACATTTTCCACATTCTGAACATGAAAAAGGTTTCTCTCCTGTGTGAGTTCTTGTGTGTCTAACAAGATGTGCTTTACGGATAAAACATTTTCCACATTCCATGCATGAGAAAGGTTTCTCTCCTGTATGAGTTCTCTTGTGCACAACAAGACTTGAGCGATCGTTAAAACATTTCTCACATTCAGAACAAGGGAAAAGCTTTAATTTTCTGTTTACTAATTCATTTGTAGACAGAGAGGATTGTAAAAGATTTCTAGAGTTTTTAGAGTTCGAACTTTTGGTCATTGTTTTGAAAGATTTCTTCATAATCTTGCTTAGTGTATTTCTGTTCTTCTCCGGTGCTTCTTGATAACTTTTACTGCTGGAAAAACCTGAAAGAAATGTACTGGTGTAAGAAATTGATATGCAAAACTGCATTATTGTATAAAACATTCTGTGTATGTGACTGGTTTTACAAGGTCATTTACTTGATAACAGTGCGACAAGGATCAAAGCTTTCAGTTGCATTTTACAAGATCCAGCTAAAACAAAAGCTTACAACCCTCCAACAGTTCGCCTGCCAACCAGTTTTCCATGCATGTTATCAGAAGATCAGCGTAATGAACATCTAGTAGACATGTGCAATTCGTTTCGGTCAGAATATGAATTCGGACGAATTTCGGGCAATTCGGACATTCGGGTATGTCCGAATTGCCGAGGTCCCGAAATTACCGAATTGTCGAAGTTCCTAAGCACAGTATTACCTAAGTACTAATATACTTACCCAGTGAAAGAAGGAGAATGTTACATTGTATACAATTTTAAATAAAAAGTATACAAACATAGCCAGGATTCAGCTGTAAGCATTTGCAACACTTACAACAATCAAGTAACATACATTCATATAAAATGTTAGTTACTTAACAAGTCAACGTAATGACAGGAATGAATACGTAGATAACTCCCTTATTTCCACGGTATTAGGGAGCTATCTACTAAAAGGCTGAAAGACCTGAATTGGTCTTTCAGCCAAATTTACTAATACTAAGTAAAGATTACTTAGTATTAGTAAATAATGCCCCTACTCGCTATACCGAAGTAGGGGCATGTCTATTAAAAAGTGAGCAGCCTGTGGCTGCTCACTGTTTTAAAAAAATAAATAAAAATAGGGTCCCCCCTCCCGAGACGCGCGAGTGGGGGCTTTTAAACTAAAGGGGGGACCTATAGACCCCCCCGACCCCCACCCCTGAGCAGCGGGTGGGGGACCTAAAGTAATATTGTCCTCCCCCCTGACCTCCAACCCTGAGCGGCAGGTGGGGGCCCTAAATACTAATAGGGGGGACCTAATGTCCTCCCCCCTGGCCCCCACCCCTGAGCGGCGGGTGGGGGACCTAAAGTAATATTGCCGTCCCCCCTGACCTCCACCCCTGAGCGGCAGGTGGGGGCCCTAAATACTAATAGGGGGGGACCTAATGTCCTCCCCCCTGGCCCCCACCCCTGAGCAGCGGGTGAGGGCCCTAAATACTAACAAGGGGGGACCTATTGTCCTCCCCCCAGGCCCCCACCCCTGAGCAGTGGGTGGGGGACCTAAAATCAGAGTGCTCTGAGCCTAATTGCAGGGCGGGGCAAGGCTTTATAAGCCTTCTCCCGCCCTGCAGAGCTCAGTCTGCACAGAGCCCCCCCATGGATGAAGATGGATTTTTTTTTGTGCTCTTTTTTTTTTTTTTTTTTAGAATTGCATCGGTTATTATATTTTTTTATTTGGTCTTTTTTGGGGCTAAAAAAAGAAGATTTGAGAAGAAAGAAAACATTGAATAGTAAGTTTTAAAGTACTTAGTTAAAGGTTCCCCCCTCATTATTTTTTAGGGTGAGGGGTGTAGGTGGGGATAATTTTTTTTTTGTGTGTGAGGGGTGGGTGACTAGGTTTGGGACCCTAGTCACCTGAGAGGCTTTTTTAGGGTCCCCACCCGCCGCTCAGGGGTGGGCGCCAGGGGGGAGGACAATATGTCTGTAACGGACAGTTTCAGCACACAAGAGGTTAAAAACCGTTAAGGCGATATTCCCCTTTTTCAGCTGCACCGACAGCTACTGCAAGCACCAATCTCCTGAACTGCAAACCGACGAACTTCCGAACTGCAACCAAGGGAATACTCGAAACTCCCGAACTGGAGACACACGAATAGCTGCTAGCAGACGAACAGGAAAAAAACCCAAGCGACTTACACTCCTGGTAATCAGTCTCTAACAGCATACAGAAAATCCTCCCCCAATAATGAGACGACACTTTACTTTGAGGGTTAAGCAGGAACTGCACTGTAATGGCCACACACTGGCTGTTATGCAAGTCCCCATGCAAGGGGACATCCCACAGGGTGGGACACAGTACAACCAATCATTTACAGGAGAG